GCCGCTCATTAGCCGTTCAGCCAGGAGGCTTAATGACACTCGCAGCCCACGTGGGAGCATCGTCTCATCTCCCGTCACCGCTGGCTTGCGGAGCATCTTGCCGACCTGCTCCCGAGTGCGATGCCCTTGCCGGTGCCACGTGCGGATACGGAGGGCGAGCATCAGGATGTGATGCCGGGGGGATGGGTTTTTTTTAGGAGAATCCCATGGCAGACCCCCAGCCTCACCTTGGCAGCAGGAAGGGGCTCAGGGTGATGGGACGCGGAGGGGTTTCATGCCCAGTTGCTCCTGGGTGGAGGCTGGTGGGTGCCAGTGCCATGGGAAGGAGGATGAAGGTCATGTGCTCTATTTACACACGTTCCCAGCACCTGGTGATGACCTTGGCAGTGGCTGCCTGCCGATGCTTTGTTATTTATAAATGCAGGAGAGAGAGAGGAGAGGCCCCCCAGCACCAGGCAGCCCTGCAGACCACCCTGTCCCTGCAAAACAAGCCCAGAGCCGCTCGGCAAAGGGGACACCAAACCACCAAACTCACCTGCACGCGGATGTAACCCCCCACCCTGGGGCTTTTGCAGAAGAGCAAAGCAAGATGCTCGCCCGGAGTGGGACCAGCAGCACCTCCAGGGGTCCCAGAGCCATGGACCAGGGTTTGTAGACCCCTGCATTGGGTGCAACCCTGCCTGCAAAGCAGCTCCAAGCACCGAGCCCACAGCAGGGACCTCGGCATCGCCGCTGAATGAGACCCCCTTGCACCACGCCAAATCCACCCTAAATCCATCCATGGCACCTTCACATCATCTAAACCCCTCTGAGGAAGCGTGAACAGCAAGTCAGGGAGAAAAAAGCCAGACCCTCTCTCATGTACAAGGCAACATCAATAGAGAAAAACTGTTATTTTTTGCCCCCTTCCCCAGGTCGGTCATGGCTTCTGAACACTTTCATGGCTGCAGACACAAGGAGGTCAGGCGAGCTGCTGGAGCACGGCAGCATCTCCGAGCATCCCGGGCTCCCCGCTGCAGGCTCTTCACCCCTCTTGCACCCCAGTGCCACCACCTGGTTAATGCAACTGCTTTTAACAGGGGGTTTGGAGCTAAATCCACCTGCCTGAGCCTGGGGGAGCGCTGCTGGAGCTCCCCCAGGACTGAGCCATGGGAGGGGAGCCGATGGGATGGGACATTCCCTTGCAAGCCCAGATCCAAGGATCGCATCCACGCAGCCCTGCAACGTCCCATCACAGAGAGAGACCCGCCGAGGTTAAGGCAAAACTCTGCAAACCAACACCCAAAATTCGAGGGATGCACAAATAAATGCTGGATTTCGGGTGCTTTGTGGGGTGAGAGCCCCTGGCCCGGGCTGCCTCCCCCCAGCCAAGCAGCATCCGCGCTGCTGCCGGAAAAACACATTTCCAACTCGAAGCAAACAGCCAAAGCAGCTGCCACGTGTTTCCCCCTTTCCTGCTTCACCTCTTTCTGGTGGAATTTCATTTCGGGCAGGAAGGGGCTTATAATTAATGCTCAGCAGCTCCGTGGCCTCTCTGGTCCCCCCCACCCAACGCAGGTTATCCCGCTCTGCGGCCGGACGCATCCACAGCGTTTAATGCCGGAACGATCATGACAGAGAGGTGCTACCGGAGATTTGGCCACGACTCAGCGCAGCCCAGGTATCTTTTATTCATAGCCATGGGCTGACTGTATTACTTTTTGATAAAAAGCCACATTCCCACGTTCCCAACACATTCCCTTGCAGCCAGAGGAGGACCCGAAGCCGTGTTATTTATTTATTTCGCCACCAGGCTCTGGGAAACTCTATCACCTTGATGGCAAAAAGACCCTCCTCCTCCTCGGAAATATATTCTTTATGAGGCTGATCCAGCCCCCGGAGGGTGACAGGAGGTTTTTTGCCACGTGAATAATGAGTTTCATAACGGAACAAAAGTCTGAGCTCCCGACTTTGCTCTGCCACGGGGAAAGTGGTGGATTTCGCCAGCCGTGAAGTTTGGCTGGGGATGCTGAGAGCACATCAAGGGGTCCTGCTGCCTTCTGCACCTTCGTCCCACCCACAGCCTGGGGAGACGGAGCAATTCCAGGGTGGGAATAGAGACAACGCAGTCCCTGGGGACTCAGCTCCACCGCTTGCAGCCAAAGCTGCTCCATCCCCGCTGCTCTGGTTCTTTATCCCACCCCCAGCACCCCGGGCACGGGGAAGGGCAGAGCCGTGGTTTGGCACTGGGGGTTTCAAAGCAGCACAGAGCTCAGGGTGCAGGGTGGGGGGCTCAGTTGGCAGCCCCCACGCTTGCAAACCACATGCAGCCCCACACAAACCCACGGGTTCGCCCCGCAGCAAAGGGGGGACCAACTCAAGGCGATGTCTCAGCCCATGAACCTCTCCATGAGCAGCCAAAAACCATTAACTCTGCCCTGTTCTACGCACAGGACAGAGTTGGCTACTGGAGGAGCTACTACTTGCCACAGGGCGTTGGGAAGATGCTAATAAACTTGGAATAGGGTCAGGCAACAAGAGAGCACCGCGAACCCCACCACGGCCCCACGCAAAACGCCTCGATGAGACCACCCACCACCGGGCTGGGTTGGGAGAAGCCGCGGCGCAGCCCTTACCGGCAGAGGTGATCCGTCCGGCACGCGTTGCGCAGATCCAGGCAGTTGGGCTTCTCCTTGTCCTCGTAGGAGCAGGA